GCTACTACTTAAATCCATGTGAAATCTTCAGTTAGCGGAGAATACCACTGCTTTCTTCCTAAGTGGGGCAGCTGGAACAACACATGTGCTCATATCTTTGCATTGACTGTTAGTTTGCAGGTACAATGCAAGGTGTTGCTCTTTACAGACCTGAATTAAAGTTATGGGACCAGTTAAATTAAACTGCAAAGCACTCAATCTCAAAACCCAGTCTGAACACAGTGTGTTCAGTCTATGGCCTTTCAGCGAAGGATGCCTACCTTGTGAACTCACTTGTCTCGGCAGTCTCTCAGAACTAGAACATAACTGAACTTCAGGGTAAGTATTTTTTTAAAAAAATATTTGTTTAAATTTTGTTTTGAATACATTTTCTATATTTGAAAGTGCACAGCTGCCTTCATAGAAATCAGTAAAATAAAAATGGTATCACAATGTTATGATTATTTTATCATGAAACCTCAACGTAAGTTACAGGCAAAAATATATTTACTGAATCCTGACAACCCTCATGACTCTTTGCAGTGGATGTTTTCAGGAAGAGAAATGGAATGTCTTCCAAGAATAAGAGAAAATGCATGCAGTTAGGTATCCAATCTAAACAGACAATGCTAAATTACAGACCAGATAATTCACTGATGCAAATATACAAAAGAACCACTTTTACCTTAACATAGTTTTTCTCTGGATATGAAAAGCAGGCATCCTGATTAGACAGACGACTAACAAGACAACGCAGAAACAAGAAGCGGGAGTTTTCAAAATGCTTTGACAATTACAGTGAGTTGAATATTGTCTAAAAAATGGTTGATTGCTAAACTGTTTAGACAACTGTCACAAAAATCCTTCACTACAGTATTATTAAGTGAATCCTAAATAAGAATAACAGATTTATTTGGGCATAAGCTTTCGTGGGTAAAAAACCTCACTTCTTCAGATGCATGGAGTGAAAGTTACAGATAATCTGTTAGTCTTTAAGGTGCCACCGGACTCCTTGTTGTTTTTGTGGATACAGACTAACACGGCTACCCCCTGATACTAAATAAGAGGGAAAACTTGGTAGGTCTGTGACTAGATGGAATTGGATATAATTGTTTATAGCTGATACGATGCTGTGGGGACAAAAAATATCCACTTCTCTCACAAAGCAGGATATATGTTCATTTTAAATGGTTTTTCACTTGGAAAAGCTCATGAGATATTTTCATTTTTGTGAAGTTCCACATGACAATAGCAATCATATAATCCTACACCAACATGCTTCAATAAAGGTTTCAATATAGACAGTTGCAAATACTGAGCATCATTTTGCAAAAACATTTTTAATTGACGAGATTACAGGTTTTATTAAAAGCAGACTGTTTGAACCCCTCCCAGCAAGTCAGGAGGCTGCTTATGCCAGCTCTTTGGAGCTACACATACATGATTGTGACGCAAAGACACATACACAAGGACCATATATAGCCTACATAGGGATGTATTAGTATATGAAGGGAGTTGCCATCTGTGTGGGATATATAGGTGATGCAATGGGACAGATAATTGTGAGGCTTACCTAAAAAAGGGTATAACTGGCTTATGAAAATGTGTATTTGAGATGTGGATTTCCTTGTAGAGATGTTTGTATATTGAAGAGATATGAAACAGTAGGGAAATATCTGCATTGGGATGTCTGGGCTGGTGGGTTATGGGGTGGAGAGGGGTCCACATTGGGGTGTCTAAGCTGGGAGGCTCTGGCATGGGGACCAGTGGGGTGTCAGCTATGGCAAAGGACAAGTCAGCACAGGGGATTCTTGGACGGGAGCTATGGCACAGGGATGGGTCCGCATGGGTATCTGGGACCGGGGGCTGGGGGCTGTCAGGGACGGGTCTGCACTGAGGTGTCTGGGAGGAGGGTTAGAGTGTCTGAGACAGGAGGCAATAGCCTCCGGGAGGGGTCCATACTGGGGTGCCTGGGATGGGGCTGTGGGAAGGGACAGGTCTGCACTGCGATGTCTGGGGCAGCGGGTCTGAGGTATCTGGGACAGGGGACTATGGCCTGCGGGAGAGGCTTGCACAGGGGTGTCTGGGATGGGGAGGGGTCCAAAGGGGGGTTACGGGGCAAGCGGAGGTGTCTGGGGCGTCTCTCCACTAGGGACCTTCCTCTCTCCCCTGCTCAGGCGGGGCAGGAGGTGCCAGAGGCAGCGGCTCCCCGGCGGGCCCGCGCACCCAAGAAGGCGGGGGTGCATGCGTTACCTGGCCCCTCATAAGCTCCAAGGCGCCCCGCCCCCCTTACCAGGCGCCCCGCAGTCCGCGAGCAGCTCCTCAGCGCCCTCACTGCCGCCATCTTAAACAGGAAAGAGAGGGAGCCCCCACAACGCCCCCCACACCTCCCACCCGTCAACCAATCAGAAGACAGCGTCAGACACAGCAGCCAATCGGGGTAGAGGACTAGCCCACTCCCAAAGCCAGTCGGTGGTCTAGGGAGCGGCAAAGTCTTGGGGCATCAATTTGTTAGGGCGCGGCGGAGCTTTGTGACTCGGGGCGGCCAGCGTGGGCGTGGCTGGGGGGCGAGCGGGCGAAACTGCTGGGGAAGGGACTTCGGGGAGACTCGTCCCGCACAGCACGGGGCGAAGCAAGGAATCGTGGCAGCTTCAAACGGGCCCGTCTCACCCACGTGAATTCACAGCGCCTTAAGTTCACCTATGTAGAGTCCCCACGCCCATACTTATACCACCACCAAAGGTGGCCGGCTTTCCCTGGGTATTGGAAATGATTGTCTTTCCCACTCCCCTGCAGGAAAGACACACAAACCAGCGGCTGCGGGATGAAACTGACTACTACAGCACTCAGCCTTCATCAGTGATGTTTGCATTGATTGAAGCACCGCAAAGGATGCCGTCAACGCACAAAGTCAACAAATGTGGGGGACCGGGGAGGATGACGGTTTTTCTTTGATCTTTCAGTTATAGGGATTTTAGAGGTTACCTAATAGGTACAAAAATATCAGATTGAAATATGACTATAAAAGGGAATTTCCGTTTTAAATTTCATAATAAACATTAAAGAGCGAGTGATCATCAAATAAAGTTGGTATTTCTCGTTTTTTTAGTTTTTTTAACTCTTTACTCTCTGAGATTATTATTCATTTATTTTAATTTAATTTAATTTTCTCAGAGGAGAGCCCTGCAAATCCGCAGATACAAAGCAAATATCTGCAGATATGTGAAGATCATGGACAGATGCTGATCCAAATTTTATTTCTAAAGCCCTGCAAATCTGCAGATATCCATGGATTATTTTGCGGATCACGGATCAGATGCAGATACAATTTTTGTATCCGTGCAGGGCTCTATCTTGGAGCTTTCACAGCAACTGAAAATGCATACTATCAAAATTATCCCTTGTATCTACACAATAAGACCTTGTCTGCACACAGTGGTCCTAATGTGGATGCAGTTATATTGGTGTAAATGTGTTTATAACGACATAATTTATTCCTAGGAAGCAGAATAAACTAAACCAGTAGAAGCACATTTACACTAGTATAACTGCATTCAAACTAGAGGTTGTACTGTTATAACTATTGCAGTAAAAAAAATCAACCCCAAACATAATTATACCCATACAAAATCTGTAAGAAATATTATATCCCTTTATTTTATGCCCCCTTTTTTCCTGTTAATTTTGATAGCCTTATCATGTATTGGATTGATAGTTTTCTTAACTTTTTCACAGTTGTTTCCTGCTTTATGAGTGGCAAAAGCAACTATGAAAGGAGGCTGGTTAATTTATTCTACCATATTGTGTATAGCTATACAAATTACAGTCTAGATTAGTATCCTTAATTTGAGAATTTTATTCAAAACAACAAGGAGTCTGGTGGCACCTTAAAGACTAACAGATTTGGGCATAAGCTTTCGTGAGTAAAAACCTCACTTCTTCGGATGCAGAAGAATAAATAAAACAGGATCCCTCTGTTTTATTCAAAACAGACTCTGCAGCTGTATAATATTTGGACATTACTAATCCACACCAATTTTGAAAGGATTATCTATGGTCGTAATAGGAATGTTCCTTGAAGTCACTGGGACCTGAGGTGCCTACAATTAAGTATTTGCAGCACTGGGGACTGAACATTCTCTTTTTGTATATTGAAAGCAATCAGTTTGTTGTCTGTAAACATCTCTTACCCTCATTAATGGCATAGGTACGTTTAGAAATCAAGTTCCTCCTTTGTGGTCCCAGCACGTAATAGCTCCTTATAGGCCATTGAAGTTCTGCTGCAAACTTCACTTGCCGCAGAAACAAACATACTCTTGAAACATAAGCCAGCTTCCAGACAGTTATAGCAAACAGCTGTTTTAGGCTGTTAGAAGCCCGGCTTCTTTATTATGAGTTTTTGGGGCCTCGGGCCTGGCTGATCTTATTCTCTGCTGCTCTACATTCTTCACACATCTAGGAATACACCTTGGAGTATGATGGAATAGTCAATAAGGAAGCACAGTCAAAACATGCTGATAAAGCGGAAATGTAAACAAAGGGAAGTGATCTCAGTTCTCACTGACTTCAGAGGGAGCCGGGGGTGCTCAGCGCCTGGCAGGAGTGGGACCAAGATCTAGGCACTTTTCCTCACCCCCCAAACTTCTCTCCGGACCAGCCTGACCGTGCTCCCTTCCCCACAGTGAGGGAGAGTCGGGCCGGGTCTATCGGCTCTCCGAGCTGCTCCTCACAGCTAAGTCGCCCCCTAGAAGCCGCAGTCGGGAGGGGGCCCCGCTCACTCCTCAGCTGCCAGGCAGCCAGTGGCATTTCAGCGCTGGCTGCAGTCTCCGCCGCTAGCTCAGAGCCCGGCTGCTGCGTCCTGACTCTCCCCAGCCACGTGTTACCGGCTCCAGCTCCCTCCCTGCACTGTGCCCGGCCTACGGAGCCTGTTCCGCCGGGGCCTCGCTGTCTGCAGAGCCCAGCCAACTCTCCATCGTCTCGGCCGCTCTTACCCGGGGAGGCGCCGCGGCTGCCTGTTGCCCATGGACGGGGACAGGGTGGAGATAGATGGCGGGGTCATGGAAGGGGTGAGTACAAGGACCGGGCCCGTGGATCGGCCCGGCCTTCCTGCTGGAACAGCACAGAGCTAGGCTGCCGGGGGCCCCGGGGCGAGCCTGGCTCGGCCTGGCTCCCGCAGAAGGAGGGTAGAGAGTGCACGAATGGCCGGCTGGGCTCCGGGCTGTGGGGGGTGGTCCTAGCGGGCTCCCGGAAACAGCCGGGCTGCGCCTTGGGGATTCAGTGTGTGCTGGGGTGGATCCTGGCTTGGCTCCCGGCCCTGGCTGGGGCTGGAGGTTGAGAAGGGATTGGGTTTAGTCCTGGTGGGAAAGCCCGGTGGTGGTTAGCCCGGCTTGGAGGAGTGGGGTGGAGGTAGACCCCTGGCCCAGCCGTCCCTGCCCTGTGCTCCGTGGTGCAACTGACCACCTGTCTCCCCCTTGCAGGGTGGCCAGATCTTGCGAGTCTCCACGGCCTTGAGCTGCCTGCTGGGGCTTCCCCTGCGAGTGCGGAGGATCCGAGCTGGGAGGAGCCAGCCTGGCCTTAGGTAAGCTTCCCCCAATGACCCAGAACTGGGAGACTTTCCATTAAAACGTGTTGAGGAAAAACTATGCCTAAAGTTGTGAGGGGTGGCAGGAGAGCATCCCACTCAACACACCTGGCATTGGCTGTGTCTACACTGACCCTTTGCTCAAAGTCCTTCTGTGTTGCTGTGACACTAATGCAACTCCAGCAGAGGTAGCAGTGGTGGCAATGCTAGTGTAAGTTGGGGCATGGGTATTTTTTTACCACCACATTGCCTAACCCTACCTATAGGTTTTGAGGTCACAATAATAATAAAAATGCCACCAGATAATAGTATTCCTATTCACTGGAGCTACACTAGTGCTACTGCAATAGTAAGAGATTTTTAGCAAAAGGCTATTGTGTCAGGAAAGGATCCAAGATTGAACTCCAGAAACTCTGAAGTCCTAACCTGTTCACGTGCTTCATGTAAATATATTAGCTTCTGGCATACACTTTTGGCATCATCTATATAGTTTGTCATGGCAAAAGAGTATTTGAATTTGTTTCACCTAGGAGGGCTTCTGTCCCCATGACCCTCCACTTGGGTCTGGCTGCCTGATTCCCTTTCCCATAAGAGATCCCATCAGTTACACCTTGTTATAAAAACATAATATGACAACATGAGATTTCAAATATGATCAAAATTGTAAAATGACTTGCTGAAACATACAGCAAAATATTCCATCCCTAGCAAGGGAGACTGCAAACATGTCTATAAACAATGTCCCCAAATAGTGAGTCTTCCTATACCAAGGCCCAAAGATCTGAATGTTTTTACCTAGACTGTTTAAGGAGCTGATGGTTAATGACTATTTATGTGGCTGGTGTCAGTACCATGTAGGTTTTGCTTAGGACACTTGGCAATAATTTTAGAAACAGAACCTGAAACAACAAAGAGAGGCCATATTTGGTTTTAAAAGATTGTCTGAGGCTATATGCTTTCTTTCCACTGTAGAAACTTCAAAAATATTTGTCACATGTGTGTACCTATCAAACTCAATTTAGTAATTGACATTCTTGTCTGTAGGCCTCTTCTGCTCCCTTCATTAACTACTGTCTGTCTTTGATTTGTGACATACTACTCTAATCACAATGTCACAGTTACAAGGCTATGGCATATAAAAGCCAACAGAGCTAATTATACTAATTACATTATTTTAATTTGAATCACAGTGAATGGAAACTGGTCCCGTAGCAGTTGTATACACCGCACATTATTTATATATTTAAGTTGACAGTGTCAATTTGAAACTAGTCAGCTTCACCAAAATGAACCAAAATCATTTTGGTGAAGTTGACTTGCCCTGCCTTTGAGTACCCTTGCACACTTCAAAAAAAAAAAAATGTTGACCATGTTTTCCTATTTTATTTCTCCAGTGTTTTTCTCTCCTCTTGCTTTGCGGAAGACCCACACAAATAGGAGAGTGAATGTCTGCACAGCAGGAGCTATCAGGACAGATATTGCAGGAGAGCTCTGATCACCCTGCTGTGCACCTGACTCTAAAATGGCTTGAGTCAAGTGACTGCCCCTGATTCTATTCCAATCCTCCTCTCTGGCTCCATATAGCGGACTGGAATGGGGGGTCATCACCTTTCCCACTGCATTTTGGCTCAAGCTTTAACAAGTTCTTGCAGGGGATTCCTGCTGCACCCCACCTCAGTCCCATCTCTCTACCCTGTCCTGCTCCTGTGGAAGAGAAACAGGATCCCCACTAATTCCAGAACGCTATTCTGGTTCCTGTGGTTTACGGGCAGCCATGAAACTCTGTGGGAATCAGTTTGAATTTCTACTGTTTTGGTTTGGGCTGAAGCTTGCAATTGTTATACTATTACTAAATATGTAATAGTTCTGTAATGTAATGTGGGTGAGTAGGCAGTCTGATGTATGTCTTAATATAGTATTATGACTTGAAGGCCTCAACATCTGTCTGGACTAGAGATGATTCGAGATTTATGTGATGGGCAGCTGGATGGGGGAGAAATCGGTTCAACAGAAATAACCTTCACTCCTGGGAAGATCAAAGGTGGAACCCACATAGCGGATACCAAAACAGCAGGGTATGTGTGTTGTAATACCTACTATTAACTGATGTAATAACTAGTTTTAACTGTTCTTCAGCAGTTTTTAGGTTATGGCAAAAATGAGAAAAAACAAGGAAATTCATGCTGAGGACTGATACTATCTCCTTAATTCATGCTATTAGTAATGTAGATGTACAAGGGAAATAAACAAGAAACCTTTGTTAATTTCCCCCTCAAATGAGAGTGTGTGGAAAACTTGACTGATCAAAGATAAAACAAAAATCTTAGGGAAAAATCTTTATTTTTAGGCTTGTAAAGAAACATCAATGACAAAAAGTTACTTGTTAGGATTTTGGCAGGGTAATGTATGTTAGAGGAATGTCTAATGTCATTTCACTAATGATTATCTTCAGATTGAAATATTCCAATTTATATGTAAAATGCTCTTGAAACTTCACTTTCTGACAGATATTTACTGGTTTAAGTGGATTATGCCTACGTTACCTGTGAGTGTTTTCCAATTCCATTTTAGGAGCGTGTGCCTCCTGATGCAGGTAGCAATGCCGTGTGTGCTGTTTGCTGCTTCCCCTTCAGAACTTCGTTTAAAAGGTGGGACTAATGCTGAGATGGCTCCACAGATAGACTACACAGTGTTGGTAGGGATCAGCTTCTTTGATTTGCTAAATCTTTCAGGTGCAAAAGTAACTTGTGTACTTCTGTATGTTCCTATTACTGCTTTATATCATCAGTGGTAACTGTAGAGTAATCAAAGCAATTTTTTTCTTTTTTTGCTGTTTCAAATGTGAAATGAAATAGAATAACCTCCTTTCTATTTAAATGCTAAAATATGCAAGTGAAAAATAATGTGTTTGATATATTAATAGTGCAATATTTCCATACTATATGTTTAAAGGGCACCAAATTCCTCACATAATTCCTTGAAACACAAAGAAGTCTGCCTCTACTTGTTTATTTCTCTTTTTATTTTTAGTTGTTAAAGATAATTTGAATTAAAAGTCTCCTTTGTTCTAGAAATGCTAAGTATTAATAGGGAAGGAGGGGAGCAGGTCCTTAAGAGAATCTCTCTTACAAAATGGTCTGCAGAATAAAATGTGGAGATCCCAATCTAATTCATTCTTCATGACACTGAATATTTTTATAGTGTATTTTGAGATCTTCACTGTAGACCAGTGTATATATATATTTCTCTCTGTGGATTGAATGGTAGGGTGGGATATGTTAAACACAAACTAGTTCTGCATTTTTAAAGTATGCTTACTCCTCAGGTCTTTAAACCAATAATTGAAAAGTTCAATTTGACCTTTGACTGTGACATAAAAAGGAGGTAAGTTATACTGTCATGGCTTTTGAAATACTTTGTGCAGGGGGCCAGTCTCTAAGTGGAATGTGAGTCCTTTATGTTTGAGTGCTTACCCGCCCCATTTTGTCCACTGAAGACAAAGGGAGTTTTTCTTTTGACTTCAGTGGAAGTTGTATCAGACCTGCTGAAGGCCTTCAGTTTACCCACCTATGAAAAGAGGATAAGATATATCTACTCATGGTTGTTGAGTGGCTTAATTAATGTTTGTAAATTGCTTCAAGAATATTAAATGACAATGTTATTTAAGTGCAAAGTATTATTTTAATTTCTTATATAGTGCTTACCATGCTAGCTGCTTATAGTCTCTACCCCAAAGAGCTTACTGCCTGTTTTTAGACATGGCTCAACAGATGAGAACAACAAACAGTAGGGTGTGAGAAAAGAGGAATAAGACATGGACTATGCTAATAAGCAGGGTGGATAAAAATTGATGATCAAAAAATGGATTTTTAATTTAAATTAGATTTTATTTAAATGAAATGCAGGTTTATGTTTAAAAACTATTTAAAATTAAAAAATTGACAACCTATAAGGCCCAAATTTATTATAATCTTATTAAGATTATTTACATTAAATACAAAAACATAATATTAAGTAGTATTTGCTCGCTACCAAGTTTTAAAGAAAGGCAAACCACTGACCTAGTGGAAGGCACTGGCTAAGCACCTGGAATCATAGTCCGTTAAAGTGCTAAATTAGCTTTTGACAACTGTGGCGCCTCTTCTGCAGGGGCAGAGAGAATATTTTCTTCACTTCAGTTTATTCAGCTAGTTTAGTTCAATGACTATTTCATTCAAAATTAAGAAACCAATTGGGAGCTGAAAAAGCAGGAAAGATTATTTTCTTCTTCCAGTCTGTGAATAAAAAACTAGCTGTAAGAGAATGAGATCTACTAGTTCTAAAATCTTGCAGGAGATGGTGACAAGAAACAATCAGTTCAACTCACTAGCAACATATAATGCTTCATTTGTTTAATAAAATAAGTTACTTTTAAATGCAAAGCCCGTTTTATTAGAAAAAAAGTTTATCAGAAGTTTATGTATCCACCATGTTTAAGGTAGTTATTATATTGAATAAAAAATGAAGGTGTGTTGTGCATTTTTAATTTAATTTGAATTTCCATCCAAATAGAGCTTGACACAAAATAATCACAAGTAAAAAAAAAATAATCCTCATCTGGTAAATAAGAATTGCATGATTCATCATTTTCTGACATAATACAAATATTAAGAACCTGAATAAATGTAAGTTAAGCTGTATAATGCTTAAATAAATAAAATGTGTCCTCCTGGTTAGCAAAAAGAAGCACCAAATTTAATATAAAGGCCATGTTTAGTTGCAAATATGTTAAAATAATGTTTTAATGATTATCAACTAATAAGAATCATCCTTTCTTTCTTTTAATGATTACCAACTAATAAGAACCATCCTTTCTTTAGGAAAATTAAAATTGATGATTTAAATCAAGGTTTCCTGCTTGCTGATTTAAATAATGATTAAAATCACTGATTTTAATCAGTCTACCCTGTTAATAAGATTGTGCAGTTAATTAGGTTCATTCTATGCATGTTGAGGGTAATGCTATGTTTTTATTTTTTGTACTCATTTCTATGGTACACATCACAAATTTCTAAGCCACTTGAGCTGTCTAAAATAGCATGTTAAGGATAAGACACGTACTAGCAAACAAGTATGCTAAATCCATTTTTAGTTTTCTTGCTTATAGGAATAACTTAATTTGTAATGTCATGCACCCCTTTTCTTTCCATTTAACCATATCTGATATCCATTTTTAATAGGGGCTACTACCCCCAAGGTGGTGGTGAAGTGATAGTCCGAATGTCACCAGTCAAACAGTTAAGCCCAATAAACTTAACTGAACGTGGCACTGTGACCAAGATACATGGAAGAGCATTTGTTGCTGGAGCCTTGCCCATTAAAGTGAGTGCCTGTAATATTCCTAGAAGTAAGGGGATGTAATTTTATATAGTGTAAATAAATATTATACAATTATTTGTCTATTATGCAATCTTTATAAGTAGTTCTATACATTTATTGGTATTATTTTCTGTAGTTCTCCACCTGTAAACCCAGGCAACCATAGTACAATGAATCCAACTGTACAGACCTTCCAAGGAGAGGAAAATTATAACACATACAAATTTAGAGAATTCCAAAATAAAGTATTATTATATAGATTATGGTAGCACCCAAAATGGTAGGAGAGAACATTGTCCTTGTTGTAACCATTCGGAAGCCCTTGGCAGAGATTCAAGATTGGATACCTTTCTAAAAGATAGGCTTTAGCTCAACCTGAAGTGATGGCTCTGATGCAGAAATCTCTGGTTGAAATTCTGTCCTGTATTATACAGGAGGTCAGGCTAAATGAACCTAATGGCCTTTCTGGCCTTAAAATCTTAAGAACCTATGAAAATGTGCTATGAGCTTTCCAAACACTGTGGTATTTAGAATCTCTATCCCAAAGAGCTTGTAACTGTGACCTAAAATAGCTCTCCGCTACATAAAATGTTGTGATTTTTAAGATCAGATATCTCAAGCTTTATCAGGGCTATAAAGCTTTATCAGGGCTATATATAAAATCCTTATCTTGTAGAATGGGGGGAAATCCTGAATTTCTATTGGTATTGAAGCTCCTATGTACAGCTTTAAAATCTGTCATTGGTCCAGGACTGAATATTACCTAAACTTTGTAGGAAAACTGCACATTGAGGGGAAGGAGGATAAGTTAGATGTCATCTTACAGTTTGTAGTAGTTTACAATAATACATGAGGTACATTCATTTTAAAAGCTAGTCTCCTTATAGCTTGGAATAACATTATTCAAATATGCATTCATATGGTTAAATATATAGGGAAAATGTTAGATCAAACATTTATTTTAACTACTGTACCTGGTTCTTTTTTGTTTTACCATGCTAGCTAGCAAAAGACATGGCATCAGCAGCAGTGAGATGCATCAGAAAAGAAATCAGGGATCTTTACGTTAATATTCAGCCTGTTCGAGAACCTGATAATCAAGCCTTTGGAACTGGAAGTGGAATAATGTGAGACAAGACACAAGCCTCCTATTTACTTATTTTACTGTGTTATAGTTGAGAATATGGTAATGATCCTTCTGTGACTGAGAGAGGTAGTAAACAAAAAAAGCAATACCCCTTTCCTTTTTATTAAGAATAGTAATTAGGGCACTTTATAATAAGCCAAGAAATTTCTATTTTTATTTCATCTTTGGCAGGAGAGGTTGGTGTGTGTAAATCTTGTGCTAAGAATTTGTCAGGAGTTTGAATTAAATACATGTTAACAAAAACCAACTAAAACTTTGTTTTTAAGTATCTGACTGAAGCTTGAGCAGTTGAGAGAGGGAGGGATTTTTAGTTTTTTAATGTTATAATCTCAGTAGTTCTCTAGCCATTCATGGAGTTCTCTAGCAAAAACAGAGTACTCAGGACCTGGTATTTCTCATTTAAAAGCAGGAGAAATTTTGTGTGTTTGTTTGGAATAAATGCAGGCCTATTTCCTATCACAGAGATGCAAAAAAGGGAACAAATGTTATCTCCTTTGCAGATCACTTTTTTTAAAGGAAATGAAATACAAAAAACTATATTGAAGCCACATTTAACATACATATTTAAAGACAACACATTCATAATATAGTTACTAGTTAGGTCACTAACTATACCTAAATATATACAGTATGTGCAATGTGGGTAATTTTTTACTATGAGGATATTACATCTGGCTTCTCTAGCTTTTTAATATATAAGAAATATATATATATTTAATATATAAATAAAGGTTAAATATATAACCTTCCATGCTGAATTTCTGTATTTTCTGTGCACGTGACTGTGCTTTTCTGACATGACACTTCTTCCAGCATTACGTCAGGGTTGTCAGTTGGTGCTCACTCAGAGGAGTACCATCTGCTGAGTGAGCAATGAACCTCTTCCCCCACCTGTGTATTTTTTCTTGGACATTTTCCACCCAGTTAGTGAGATCAGCCCTAGAAGTCAAAGTGTATGTTTCCATTGACTTTAACAGGAATTGATTTGGGACTCAAGTACTGATCATACCAACCATTCTTATCTTGATATCATAACCTAGTGTGCTGTGGTTGCAGATAAATGCCTAATTGCTATCTGGTAATTTACTTAATTTTTCTGTTTAGTATTGTTGCAGAAACTTCAACAGGTTGTCTGTTTGCTGGATCATCACTTGGTAAAAGAGGTGAGAGTCGTGTAAAGTATATCATGTTTCGTGCATTTAGTTTCCTACTGGATATTAAATCCATATTGTTAGTAACCAGGGGCAACAGACATTCACGGATTTTAGTTTTGCTTTATAGAATCTTAAACTTTCATTTAAAAAAATACACTGTCTTTACATCCATGTTTTTTCCACAGCATGGTGAATCAATCAACAAAGTTGTGAACTTATCCACTTATTTTAATGGATTGTTAGAGATCACTGATTTGGGAAGACTTCTGGATTATTAAAACATACACACTCCACCCCAATTCATCTGATGTGGGATTTGTCCTGTACTATATAATGCAGAGTATATATGTTAAAGGTGTAGGAGTGAATTTGATTTAATTGATACCTTGTTTGGCTAAAGCTGCTTCTCAAAGTCTAAGGAGGCCTAGACTTTTCCCAATGCTGAGGAAGTAGGTACCATATTTATCCAGATGCACTAGTGGGATGATAGATCACAGTACTCAGAGAGTGACAAGTGAACATTTGAGCCAAGAGTGTGGCAATACAGGTGTAATTAACTGCCTTCTGTTTCCTGTTTTTTTCCACATTCTACAGTGAACGAATAATTATAAATGTTCTGGAGTTTCTTAATCCTCCTGAACTCTCTCCCTAGGTAAGAATTCTGACAGGGTTGGAATTGAAGCTGCAGAGATGCTGCTTGGAAATCTTAGGCATGGGGGAGCAGTGGATGACTATCTGCAAGACCAGGTAAGAATCCCATACACTGACTTTAAGATGAAGTGAAGGCAGCAAGCACACAGCAAGCGGGTTTGACTGTGTATTGAATGTACATCAAGAGAGCAAAAAAAAAAAAAGTCTTGAATTTCAGAGTTAAAATTGCATTTCCACAGCAAGCCACAGATTTACATTCAAATAGCCACTACAGCCATAACTTTAGGAGGTGTTCAGGGGTCTCCCAAATCCAGTCACCCTGAAGTCATAGGGGAGGGGCTAGTAAATAGCCTTTTCCGGTTTCCACCCCTTAAGTGTTAGAAGGCTCCATGGAGGGGACCTCGCAGCATGACTTCTGGATTATTATAGAAATAGCAACCCACCACGATAAGCCAAAATGGACTTTTTAGGAAGTTTAAACAAGCCACTTAAACCCATGGGGAAACACATATGACACCTGGAAAGGCTCCTGAGGCTCAAGGAGGGGTGACAACTAGCCTCCTACGACTCACTTGACGTTTCCTCTTCCTGCAGACCTCAATAAATCCAGAGGAAGAGGGTGGGAATTCCCTTCCCCCACCTCCCCATATCCACTCTCTCTAGATCCCCTCTACACAACAGATCTAGGGAAGGCAGCCCTGTTCTTGCAGACCTAAGTGCCTCAGGAGGTGACTAAGTGAGAGCAAGGGAGAACATACTGAGGGAACATTCTTCTCCATCTTGCTTACCTGGCTCCATGCAGGAGACCTGGGGAATGAAGAACCCTTCAGCTTTCTCCAGTTAAACCACATTTAGCGCCAGGCCAGGGTGCAACAATCAACGTGTCAGAGTGGTGTTTCTAATTCAAGTCAAACTACTACATATGTGGTGAATACCTCTTTGAGTGTGTCATCATTCAGAAACCTCATTCCCAGTGTCCTGTTCAGCCCCAGGTGTAACCCAGCAATCTGAAGTCAGATGTGATTTTTTTGGTGTGGATTTTAGCAAGGGGGCTAGAATCAAGATTGCAGCGGCGTTACCATTATAAACTTAACTCGGGAATGGCTGTTACCAGTGTATAATATACATTGAAACAGCAAACCTACTTGCTTTCAGTTCACTTGTGTGCTGCTCTGACTCTTTTATGGATCAGTGTTATGGAGCTGTAGTAACGGTTTAAAAACTAATTATTTTTTTTTTCTTCTTAAGCTGATCATTTTCATGGCATTAGCAAATGGGGTATCTAGAGTGAAAAGTGGACCAATTACACTTCATACTCAAACAGCTATACATTTTGCAGAACAGCTAACAAAGGTGAGTCCAGAGAATGGAGAAGAGTACTATCAATGGGCATTCATCCTGTGGCTTAGGCTTAGTGTGTAGCAAGCCAGAGCATGAATCTACAGCACACTAAGGCCAGGTCTACACTACAAACTTACACGGATACAACTACGTTGCTCAGGGGTGTGAAAAATCCACAGCCCCTGAGCATTGTCGTTATACCAACCTAATGTCCTGTGTGGACAGCGCTGTGTCGACAGGAAGCCTTCTCCAGTCGACATAGCTACTGCCTCTCATGGAGGTAGAATACCTACGCTGACAGGAGAAGCCCTCCCATCAGTGTAGGTAGCATCTTCACTGAAGCGTTACAGCAATGCCGATGCACCATTTCAGTGTAGACGTGCCCAGAGTCATTGGGTGGACCCTGCTAGCAGCCAGAACTATACATTAACTCCCTGGTTTGCCATGCACTAAATCTCCGTGTAGATGAGCCCTTGATATGTATACTTTTGTAGTGTCACCCTCTGATGGCTTTTTTGTGGTGTATGTGAAATTAGTTTGGTGTTGGATACAGGTGGTCAGAACACCACAGTTCTTACTAATTACTGGCAAACACCCCTGAAAATAAAGAACAGTGTGTTTAGAGTTCAATTTTAAATTCCTTGGCATTGGTTAGATGCTTTCACAACCTTAATTAAAAATATTTTCAGTGGAATTAATTATATACACACATGTACATCTGTTTGACTAAATATATTATTATTAGACATCTAGTATTCTGGGTCTGGTCTAACTACATTATAAGTTTTTTAATACTTTGTCCTCATCATTGCAGGCTAAATTTACTGTGACAAAATCAGAAGATGAAGATTCCACTAAAGATACCTACTTTATTGAGTGCCAAGGAATGGGGTTGATAAACTCAAGCTTGTAGTTTTTCTTTAAAGAAAAAACATACCTCTGATGTATTGCACTACATTTCAGTTGACATGCTACCCAGTGGGGAACAGGAGTTACTTTATCATAAATAATTGGTTTGATTTAAATTCAGAGATGATGTAATGATTTTGTGGTATGCTGAGAATACTTCCTGTCCTTCCTTTGGCTGTTAACAGCAAAATGAGTACTGATGAAATAGCAAATGGAATAAAATGCAAGTGTTCAGGAGAGCTGAAACTAGAGATGAGTAGCTTTATGGATATGAGTGCACCAGAGTTGATAAACTACCATTACAACTTTTAAAAGTTACTTAAATGACACAACCATTCCCCTTAAAGCATGTAGGTTTATCATATGGGATCCTTTACACATTTGTTACGAAATAGTTCATTTCTGTTTATCTATCAGCCTTTGTCTCTAAAGTATTCTGTTTCTGTAGTCGTTTTGCTGAAATTGATATGGAAAAAATAAAGCAATTTCGGTGTACTTTAATTGGATATTTTTTGCTTATGATTTCTCCAGCAGTTTGTTGAAGTGAGGTAGATTCATTAGCTGTGAGTTAAGTTTTTTGCAAACATCATCTGGAACTTCTTTTCAGTTATCCAGGAAGGACCGTAGACACTCTCTGCTTTAAAGTCATCATCTTTCTTGCGTTAAGGGGTCAGCTCTACAAGTCTTCTCTTCTGTGCTGTAACCTGTCTTTGTTTATGACTTCGTTTATAACTTTGTCTACACTTGCAGCGACGTGTAGGGTGTGTGTAACTATATGCCACAGTGAAAGATAGGCTGCATCTACACACTCTGTGGGGTGTAGCTACACACAGCATTAAAAGGCTCTGGTAGAGGGGAGGGCTCCGGCTGGGGGTGCGGGCTCGGGGTGGGGCTGTGGATGAGGAGCTTTGGGTGTAGGAGGGTGCTCTGGGCTGGGACTGAGGGGTTCGGAGGGAAGGAGGGGGATCAGGGCTGGGGCAGGGGGTTGGGGCGTGGGGAGAGGCTCAGGGCTACAGGTTCTGGGTGGCGCTTACCTCAAGTGGCTCCTGGAAGCAGTGGCATATCCCTTCTCCGGCTCCTACGCAGAGGTGCAGCCATGCGACTCTGCACGCTGCCCTGTCTGCAAGAACCACCCCTGCAGCTCCCATTGGCTGCAGTTCCCGGCCAATGGGGGCGCGCTTGGGGCAGCGTGCAGAGCGGAGCCCCCTGGCTGCTTCTACGCGTAGGAGCCGGAGCGGGGCCATGCCGCTGCTTCCGGGAGCTGCGTGGAGCGGCCCCCAACCCTGCTCCCCGGCTGGAGCACCAGAGCGGGGCCATGCTGCTGCATCCGGGAGCTGCGTGGAGTGGACCCTGACCCTACTCCCCGGCGGGAGCTCGAGGGCTGGATTAAAACAGCTGGTGGGCTGGATGTGGCCCATAGTTTGCCCACCCCTGGCCTAAATGTTGCATTTAGGCACCTAAAGTGGCCCTTAAGCACCTAAGTCCCTTTGTGGATCTAGCCTGAAGTGACTTACACAAGGTCACACAAGAAAGTAACTGCAGCAGAAGCAGGAACTGAACCTAGATCTCCAGCATCTTAAATAAGAGCCTGAACCACAAGACCTTCTTCCTACTCTAGATTGTGTCCATGGTATTTGATTTTCAGAGCTGCAGCTCAAGTGTAGTACTCTCGTTTCTTTTATGTTCATTCAGATCATTGGCTGCAGTTGCTTCACTGTGCATTTTAATTGGGATTAAAGCATTGAATTTAGGACTGAAGAATGCCCACTGAAGCTAAGAAATCGCTCCATATGTATCTGGTTAACTATATCAGCCTCTCCTTACAACTTCTTTCCTCTCAGAAATCTGTCATGCACAGAAATTGGGCAGGATTAATTTCGTAACCAATAGAAATAGCCCTTAAAAAGCTTGTATTTCTAATATTAGGAATGGCCTGGTGGTGGCAGCAGGCAACCTAATAAACCAGTGTTGTATGAATTGAAATTTAGTTTTAAAGTTGATATCAGGAGCACATCTCTCAAACACCATTCCAGGCTCTTGACTTTCAATGCTAGTACGGGGTGATGAAAGACCTAGAAAATACTTATCCAAAAGCGGAGAAGCTTGAAGGGAAGCATACATGCAGCTAACATCTCCTTTCATCAAAACACACTGCTCTAAAACAGATGTTAAATAAGTCTTCCCTGGGATTTTTTTTTTATTTGCATTACACAGGAGATTAGCATACATTCCTTATTTTCCAGAGTTGTAGGTGCTGTAGAAAAACCTAGGATAGCGAAAAGAGAGAGGGAACTGATTATGACATTTTAATGTTGACATCTCTGAAGATACTAGCTGTTGTGTATCTTGGAGTAGGGTGCGGTGTGAAGAATCTCCCTCAGTTTAAACTTAAAAAAAAAAAAAAAAAAAAAGAACCAAAAAAAGAAAATGGGTCAGTTCCTCGGATGTGGCCATGTTCCACTCAGTGCCAGTGCAGGACATGAAACTAAGAAGAGGCAAAAGTGACTGTTTTTCCTGATATCGAGGGCCGTTTGGTCCCAAATGCAAGTCAGAGCAGTGTCAGAGTTGCCATAAATTATGCTCAGCTATAGTAACCCCCAAGGCATCATTTTAACAGCTGCTCAACTTGGGGAAGCCAAAAGAAGGTGGCAAAGAATCAGCTATCCACTTCTACATTACCTAGGAAAGTCTTCTATGCCTGGAGAATCCTCAGGTAGCTCGCTTTTGGGACTGCTTTGCTCTGAAAGACTGGCACCAAGCAGCCATATTGGAGCCCAGGATTTAAGTTGCTCTAAAATCCAAAACAAGAATTATGATCATTATGACATGTTTTAATTCTAGACCCTGTCATATGTTATGGTTTCAAAAGCTTGAAACAAAACAGAAAAGCCTCCTCTAATGTAGTCACCCACGTATTTAAAGGCAGGATTTTAGGGCAATATAATTGCTGGATTATAAATGGATTAATAGTTTTATAAGAGTTCCCTATCAAAGACTTGATCAATCATAGTCGGATCTCTCCTAGTATGCAAATAATCCAATTTAGAGTTAGTGCTAAGCACTTTAAACCTTTGTGTAATGTACTTCACAAGGGATATTTACATTGACATTCTTTTTACAAGATGTCCACGTTTACTTGAAAAGAACCAGGAGTGCCTACCTCCCCACATACTGCAATTTGGCAACTAATGCCTTCCCTTCAGATTAAAAAACCCTCCAATAGAAATTCCTTTAAATACTGTTTTTCTTACCCTATAATCACTGCTACATTTTAACAATCAAAGAGGAATGTCTTACCACAAAGGATCTATTAGGCAACAATTGTACTTAGGATATGTTAATTCTTAGTTCATTTAATCTTTAAAATGTCTAACAGAGCTAACTCTTGTAATATTAAGAAAAGTCCACGAATGAAAGCATTGGTACATTAATCTACATCTTTTAGATTTATGTAGTCCTTTATATTCTTTTGAGTGTGTATGTGACACACACTGCTTTAAAGGTAGTAGTAAAATTGAGGATTAGCACAGGTATGATTAAAAAAAAACAAACCACACCCTTTGGCCAGATGCTCAGAAGGTGTAAGTTGTCATAGCTCCATTGCCTTCTGCCCCAGTGCCCCGATATGTACTACTTGCAAATTGAACAGAATAGTATTTTTACTGAGAAAGGTATGGTCTGTTGGTTTAAACCTGGGACTGAGAGTCGGATAGTCATAGACCTTTCACTTGCACCCTCTGTGGTTTTGGCAAATCACTCCATCTCGCTGCCTCTGTTTCTTCATCTACAAACGGAATGGTATATACCTGCCCCATATGGAAGAGTAATAAATGGTTAACTTTAAAAGTATTACTATTCAAAGAGACCTTGGGTACAAGGTGTTCTGTGTAGTATGGTAATTCTAGCACCAAATGGTTTTCACAAAAACGTTTACAAAAATTAATTTAGCAAAATGTGAAACTCATCCCTTTTCTTCATTCCATTCATTGCTGTGAGGTTTGTTTAGAGTCATTATGGACCATTGAAATGCTAACGTTAAGTACAGACATTTTGTTAATAAAAACAAAATAAGGACGTTCCAATGCAAAACACTCACATTAACATGGAATTGATTCTATGTGTATCCCTTCTGCCAGCGTCAATGGCAGCTACAAGGGCTGGGTTCTAAAAACATGTAAGGGTTCTTCTTGGAAAATAACACAACAACTTGAGTGCCCATTCAGTCTTTGATTTCAGCTCTGAGAAAAATAAAATAAACTCTCCAGATCAGTTCTTTTCCACTTGGGAGGACTCTTGAGTTTATTTGGAATATAAAACAAAGGAATATTTTAATAAGGGAAAAGGGAACACAGACAAAAGAATAGAGCTGGGTGGAGAAACTTTGATGGAATCCTATAGGGACATCAAAAATATAAAAAATGGTTTGCAAAATGAGGTCAATTTCACTGGAATTTTGTTTTGGAAAAAAACATGGAAAGAAAGTTCAGACAGCACCAAAACTGCTAGGAGTTTATCCAAAGCCCATAACCACCACTGCAACCAGCTGCAATAAGTGGCCAGTGGCTGGAAGTCCAACACCCTGACTACCCACAGTTCCACCCAGCTGAAACCCTACTCACAATTTGAGTCAGGGCATATGGTGTGGCCAGTCCTCTGCTGACCCAGCTCTAGTCCCATCAGAGCTCTTCAGCCTGGTTCTACCCCAAAGCAAAACCCTCTGGTCCAGCTCTTGATTCAATTTGCTTCAGCACTGAATGGGTCAGGGTGCTGTAAAATCTGCTCTGCTCCCCTCTGCCAGCACTGCTGTAGAATCTACTCCACTGGTCCAGAATCTGCTTCTCCCTACTGCTGTCCAGCCAGTGCTCACCAGAAGTGAGCTCTCTCTCAGCTGCTGTTTGAATCAGTACTTGTCAGCTCTACTCCCTAGTCCACTGCTGATCTGATCAAGCCTTGTCCGTAAACTCCTCCTCACAGTATAAAAGTTCTTCCAGATGATGGAAAGCCACAGCAAACTGTACTCTTAGATAAAACCCCAACTCCTTAGACTAAAGCTTTCACTTCTAAAGTAAAGCCTTGTCCTTACCCTAGCTTCATTATCCACCCTTAGTTCACATCTTGTATCC